AAACGTGGATTAAAAGGGTGTGATAATCTCGAGAAGAAAGCAGAGGGTTGGCGATTAACTCGTTCCCACCCTTGAAGCTCCTCCGGGGCGAACTGAGACCGCAGAAACGCTGACTCTGAGCGAGCCAAGGGGTCGAAAGTTAATCCTTAAATCGACCCGTGGAAATCCTGACAGGGGCAAATAATAAGGGAACGATCACACGGTTCCAGATTTATCCGAGGCTAATTTTATTTCGTGGAAACTCCGGTGTGTCTGAAAAGCGCGGGAAAATCATGGCGAATAGGCGAAAGCTTTCAAGTCATAATTAATTCGTAAAAGTTCCTGCTGCTGACTGAACTCGTTGAAAAATTCATCGGGAAATGAACGGCGAGGATAGGCGGGGGAGGCGCGATACGATCCCCACGGATGATCGATACGATACAACGATTTAACCTCCTGCTTCCGGTTAACCCAGTTTCCGCGTCACTTTTCGCTGTGCAGAGAGAATTCTGTGACAACTAGTTCCCCCCGTGTTCTTGCACCGATGAATTCATCCAACGAGTCTAGCTCTACAACATTCTACACGCGTCTCTTGTTCTTCCTCTACCGGTGGATAATTTCGAGAACGGGTAGGATTTTTCGTAAAAGAAATTTTTCCGCTTTACGAGCTCTCGCAGACTCGCTTTTTGCACGTTTTACGAGGAGACACGAGAACAGCGTGTTCCGGTATGAATGCAGTTCGAGTGGAGTGAAGGGGTCGAATGGTAGGTTTGCAACAATGATGGCGGAAGGGAACAATAGCGAGGAGAGGTTCAAGCACTTTCCAAGTGCTTCCTAATAAAATTTGATGGGGCTGATTTTCCCGGCAACCTACGTTCGTACGTTCGTTCGTTCGTTCCTCTCTCTCTACACACATATATAGGTATGTATAGTAACATGCGCGAAGCGTGCTGGGAAGATTGCAAATTAGCGGTTGACAACGTTCACGCAACCACGCTTCGTCGCTCGTTAGCCCCGAAAATTGCCTGGCAATTTCGCGAAGAAAATGGAAGACGTCGAACGTTGTGAAGCGCAATCGAGTATCCGTCGTTCCCGTGACCCCGAATCGCCGGAATCGAGTTACCCTGGGTAATCTAGGGAATCACGAGGGAGCCAAGGCAAACGAAACCTTCTCTCCCGGAATTGAAGTCCCGCGGGCGGCGCTATCAGCCACAAAGGAGGATCACTCGATTACTTTTGCTTCGTTTTCGCAGCACGCAGCCAACGAGGGTTCTCCGCGTGGCTCCCCTTTCTGTTTGTCTACCCGCGTCTCGTCTAATCACCGGCTTTTCCTTCCCTTCGATTGGCTTCTCACGATTCGCGCGGCCTTTTTCTTACGGGCCAGCCAACTCGTCGAGTATCCTTCCGCGTTAGACTTTCAAACAATTTCTTTTTTAAGCTAAATTAAATCTAAATTTCATTTTCTTCAGGTATGCACTCCTTTTCGTGAATATTCAAGCGAACCGAAACACAAGTCATTACAGAATTAGTACGATCCTGAGATCCTAACATCAACCCATTGCAAATTTAGGAAAGTATTCGAGCCATCCTGCTGTGCATAAAAAATAATAAAACTTGAACCGAAAAAAGAAAAGGTTGAAAATTAATAGCGAGAACACTCTGTGTATTTTTACTGATATACGAACGCTATTGTACGAGTCCACAGTCCTCGGAGGGTTAAGTAGATATTTCATTAGTATCGAGGAAGAGGGAATTAAAAGTTGCCGGAAGATTTTCGTTAAGATGAACATTTCGAAGGTACGCGATAGGTTGAGACAGTTGGCAGAGTCGTAGCGCGGGGTGCGAAGGATCTCCGCGGAGATCACGATTGCGTTTATCGAGATGCAGCCGAGATGATAGACGTGCAGAGCAAACGCCCGGGGCTCTTTGCTCTGAATACAGATTCCACGGGGGCGATAGTATCGCCGCCGAAAGAGGATCACTCGATTACCGGCGTCTCGTTTAGAACGACGGGCTCCGGACGAAGGTAATTGTCGCCCTCAGCGCGCCAGACCCCGCCGATGTACCTCGAGGGTTCTTTCTAATAGCGGCGCGTCGCGAATCGAGCGTTTCCTTCTCCGAGTCACGCGGCTTCTCCGTGAATTTCGCGGAACTCTGGCGTTACGAACGTTTACTTAGGATCTGCGCGAGAGAATCTTCTTCGAACGGTAGGGAAAAGGAACGGTGTATGAAATCGACGAAAGCGAAAGGATAATCGATTTCTGGCCGACAGCTTTCAATTTCCCGTCTAAGGATAACCTATCATTACCTCCAAAGTGGAAACGATTTGGATATTTCACGGGTATCGAGATGAACGGTAAACACTTTCTCGGAATAATAGCCATAAATTTGCGTTCGCCGCGATCATTTCAGTTGCAGAGGAAATGAGAATCTCCTCGGAGTTTATCCATCGGGTGTGGAAGCAGGTGTGTATGCGTGTGATCGTTGTATTTCTTTAAAAAACAGTAGGAAAAAGGTAATTGGAAGAAACTGTTTCGTGATTGTTTTTGGATTTGTTAGCCGCTACGAGGGTAATGGAAATTCTTCGAAAGGCTATAAATTGCGACGGTGTTTATTAACACCGGGGAAAAGAGATAGACGAAAGTGGTAGGAAGAAGATAAAGCACGGTTAGATAAAGAGTGAAAGCGGACAAGGCAGAGAGAGAGAGAGAGAGAAAGAAGAGGGTCGAGGAGGAAGAACGAGAGCGACATTGAGATAGAGAGCCTTGAGCCATCGTATCCAACAGCAGGAAGCAATATGTCCGTGGCGTAATAGCATGGAGCACGGAGGTTAATGGGTTGTCCCTAACGCGCCTAACCTGCCCTACGTTCTCCGTGTGTCTGTCCTCCGCGCGTCTGATCCACCTAGCCGTCACATTGTATCGTGATAACGCGTCGCCCCTAATCGACTAATTTACCACGTCTCTTCCAATTACCGGATATGCTCGAAGAATACGACGCTATCTAACCGGACTGCTAATTCCCCCCCAGCAGAGTTCCGTCCACTCCCTGACGCACCTGTCGTTACGATAAACCTAACGAATCCAATAATTTAGACGTCTGCTCTCCATTAATTTCGACCACTCTGCCAACCCAGACGCAGCATCGGGAAACCGTAAATGCCTCTGACCAATCCGGCCATCGATCGTCGTTCCACACACTCTCTCACCGGCTAAGTATTTCGAATTTCCAAATGCTATACGACATTCTGGAAGCATCGACAAGATTGGACACACCGTATCTACATCACGAATTCGCCTAGGCGTGTGCCTCCGCCGTTCTACCATATGAAGATCGACCGCCGTGCCGTATCCACTTCCGCTCGGGTAAACGTGGTGCACGCGTTAGTCTGTGACGCCCCACGACCATGTCACGTTATCGTAACCTGCTAATTGTTAGTTACGTCGGCAATTGCATTAACCTCCTAAGTCCTGTCTCTCCTTTCCCCGCTGGCCATCGTTATAGAGCCACTGCTAGGACACGCCAACGCGGTTTCCGGTGGGCTAACGACGTGCCAGGATATGGATCAGAGCGGCGTAATTGAGCGACACAACAGGTGGGACAGCGAATCGAGGGTCCAACAGCTTCAAGATTGGATATTTATTGGCTTATCCCGAGCGTTGGAAGATCGTTCGTTGGAAAAGAGCGGTAAGACCGATCGAGGAGAGGTCGTTCCTGTTCAGACAACGATTCGGACTGTCGGAGAACGTGGGGAATAGTTGGATAGTAGTCGACACTCGAAATGGAAAGTTTGTTTTTCCGGCAGAGATTGCGGTACGGCGATCGGCAGCTCGCAACAGCCGTGGCCTCGTTGCTTAACGACGTGTCGCGACATCGAACGAGGCCGGTAATTGCAGGCAACAACAGGTGGATATTAAATCGACCGACTTCCGGTCGCATAGACTGCCAATTTATTCGGTTATCCGGCACTTGATGCACACGCTCGAAATATCGCTGTTGAAACTGATTTATCTACGAGTCGAGAAAAAAAAGTGGGAAATATATGAACAATTTCCAAGGCTGTTTCTTGATCAAATTCGAGAACCACAGAGCACGTACTCGAGTAATTAAATTAGCTTCGGGGGAGAGATCGACTCCATCTACGAAATTAGAGAGCTTCAGGGTCGCGTAATCGTGTCGGAGAGCAAAAAGGTGACGCGACACAATGGGGACTCGTCAATCTTTCCCCTCGATTTTTCTTCGGCTTTCCTTTCCTCCTTCCTTCCGCTTGCCATTTTCTATCCACCTGACGTCTCTCTCTTTTTCATTGTCCCTTCCTCTCTCTCTCTCTCTCTCTCTCACACATTCACTCTCTCTCAGTTTCCTCGTTTTCGTTTCCGCGCGTCTTTATCTAAGGACACTCACCCCCGACCGGACCACCTCTGAAAAAGGGGAACCGGACGTGCATTTATCAGACTCTTTAGAAAAACTTTGAACACAGAAGTGGTTATTCCGTGTCCACGTGTATTGTGTCGGGAGACGATTGGTCCGCGCGCCGTTTCTTTTCTATTCTCTCTAGTTCACTGATTTTTTTTCTTTTATCGTGTTCTTCACGCGTTCGCGCGAGTTACGATCGCGAACAAGTTTTCACGTGGATAATAAACGCGTCGCGTTCTTTCTTTCTCTTTCGTTCACCGGTATAAAAAGACTTCTCGCGTTCGATCGAGATTGCGCGCGTTGCGAAGGATGCGAGTAGGTTAGGATGGGATTGTGGACCGGGTCAATAACCACTCCTCGTCAAATTTTTCAGTAAAGTAATTTTATTTCTCTCAAACTCTCCTTCTTTCCTCAGTACTTCAATATACACAGGACTTTTTCTCTCTCTCTCTCTCTCTCTCTCTCTCTCTCTCGCACGTACTATCTCGCTCGCTATTCTCCTCCTGCATCTACCACTCTCTCTCTGTAATCCTACTTTCACGAACCCGTCCGGAATTCATCTATTTACAAGACAGAAAATTTACCGTACACCGTCTACGGTAAACGATATATAACACGTAACGACAATAAATAATAATAATTAATCTGCGCGAGGAACTTAATAATCGGTGAATAATCTGTACAGAATCGAGAAACTTAAGATTGCGACACAATTTTACTTGTTAATATTCCGTTCACACGGGTGCACAGCTATCCGTTTTACCCATAATACTTTTCTATTAATTATACGATTCTCTCTCTCGCACTCTCTGTGTATATTATTTACAATTAGCCAGTTGCTCGGTCTAAGCTATTTACAACCATGGAGTGTGCATCTAGACGCCGTGCTCACACAACCAACGACAAATATTAAGGCCCCGTCGCCCTCTCCTTTAACCCTTTCGATCGTTTCGTCTAACACCTCATCCCTCCCTCCTACGTCCTTGCTCGCGCACCGAAACGTGCGAATCTCCCTTTCGTTTGAACGAGATTGTGCGAGCACGGCCGCGTAACAAAATAAATACTGACTAGTCCGCGCTAGTGTCTTCCTCGCCTTGTCGCCGATCACTATTGCGAGCAAGAGGAACGGGAAAGCACGATCGAGCAACGTAACAAACGAAGAACAGTACCAAGGAGTGACGAGATCGAACGACAAGTAGCAGCTCTCTCGTTCGTGGAATGCAAGAACGTAAAAAAATGTCGGTGTGCCGAAATCGAAAGAAAGAACGCCGTGGGTGGCGACGTTTGATCACGAGAAAGGAACAGTAGCATCGAACTACGGTGGTGTCGCCTCTGTTCGCTCGTCGAACGCGGAAAGACACTAGACTACCTGTTACCTGACGACGGAACGTAGCTACGACGAGTTTAGCTCTTCGAGCACGGAACATACGTGGCAAATAACGATATCACGGGATATGTGAACCGTCTCCTGTTCCCAAACGCGCGAGGAACATCACCGAGACGCCTGGAACGCGCCAGGGACAGACATCCGAGACAATACAGTCTCTATAAGAAGATGTCGCTCGCGAACGACATGTGTCACGTGTTCTGCACGTTCAGATAGATGTCCTCAGGCTTGCTCAGCAGGCTGTGTATCTGCTGCATCGTGCAGAGCGGGCACACCTCCTCCTCGGTACCCTCAGCCATGATCCTTCTAGCGGTACCAGGCGCCTTCCTCGACCCAGACTCCACGATATACGAATAACCGTCGGAATCTACCGAGTTCGATCTAGGGGAGGACGAACGGAACAACCTGGACATTTTGTTCTCCAATTGACGATTGCCCGATTCGTACCTCGTCGATTCCAACTCGGTATCCTTGAAGTCGATATAGGAGTAACCCTCGGAATCTACAGACGGTCTCCTGCCGTTGGAAACCTCCTCTCTCGACAACATTCTCTGCACCTGACCGGAGAACGAGGAGTTGGCGGAGGTGGTGGTGGAGGAAGAGAAATTGACAGACGTCTGAGATCGATCCGAGGGTGTTTGAACTCTGGGTCGATGAGTAGGCGTGATGGGAAGCCTGGAATCTATAGGGTGACCCGACGCGCAGCTGTCAGCCAGATACCTGTCGTTGTTCACCTCGTGATCCGTACAGGTCAAGATTGGACACGACGACTGTGTCTGTTGGCTGGTGATTAGCGCGTTCTGACTGGCCAGCAGCAAGTGACTGCTTCTAAGCAAGCTACCGCCGTTCTGTAATAATGGGCTAGCTATGGTGCATCGCGGGGAAGGCGCGTGAGTGGCTATCGACAGCGGAACACCCTGAGATTTGGCGAGTAGAGCGCGCGGCGTACGATAGCCGCCTAAGACTGCCCTGGAGGGCTTGTCCTGGACACGGAGTATCGCTCTTGGGTCTCGGTAGTCGAGATAGTCGAGATGATGGGGCGCGGGAGCCCGCGCACGCTGCAACTGTTGCGACTGTCGTTCCCTTAGGCTGTGTCGCTGATCGGGATTTCGTACCTCGATCGTCGGCGCCTGGCCCGGGTGGTGGTGACTGGGCAGGTGATTGTGCAGCTGCGAGTGCGTCACCGCTTCCGGCAGGTCCTCGTACAGCACCGCGCCACCCGCGCTCCCTGTCC